TGTTCCGCGGATCATGCCCCACCACAGCGTGAAACTTTTTATCTGCTCTCGCGAGCTAGGGCATTTCATGCAGCACGTGGGCAAAAAATATCCTATTTAGCGCAGGCTATTACTGCACCTTCCTGGGCTGCTTCTTTCACATCTCACATGGTATACAAATTGACACATGACAGATTTACCCAGTGTGTGTGTGGCCTCGAACTGGTCATCCTCGTCAGGTTTAGTCCAAACAGCCAATCTGTTCCTGTCGGACGACGTTTTCGCGTCCGTTTGGCTCCGTCTGAATTCTCACAATTGTATAATTGTTCTTTTATCGCGCGCTTTTTTAGTATGATCAACAGCAGACGGGTTTAAACCCCATACTCACAAGGACTTACTGACTAGTGATGGAAACTGGTTACGTGAGCCCCGGGACTTTGAGTGGCAAACCACAAAAGGCCCCGCTACGTCAGACGTGGTATTGAACCAGACGGCAGCAATATGGGTGGCAGGGCTCGAACCTTGAACCACAAGGTCTATAGAACGCCGGTAACAGTGACTAAACGACTAGGCCACTACCACCCATTGGATCGAATGATTCTGCACAGGATTGTGTGATTCTGAGCTGAATCTCTCGCTGGAGATCGGTTTCTCTTCATTTTGTCATTGTAGCTGTTGGTAGTGGGTTCACAATTTTCTAAATATTGTAGGCTTTGTTATCCTTGTGAGTTTTTTGTTTCAAGGTATGAATGCATCAAACCAACAGTGATGGTTCATCCGACAGACGACTACTTCGTCCTTATTAAGGTATATATACATATATATCACCTTGAAAACAAGCGCCGTACGGACGCAATAATATTGATGGTGATATGAAGGGGTACAGAATGGTGAAATAAAAATCAAGTAAACAGAGAATAGAGAGAACAAATGAATGAATAGTGTTTTTAATGGTTTCATCGTACAGTTTTTGACGTTTTTGTCTGTTAAGGCGAACGGGGTTTCGATAGCAATCGTCTTCTATTCCGGGCCGTATCTCTTACTGTCTCTAACTAACGACGATCCTAATCATTTGGGCCCCAACCTGGAAGGCCGGCTGCACCAACCGAAGCCAAAGCTGAATCTAGTTTCTTCATACCTCTACGCCATGTCATGATCTGACCGCCGCGGCGCTTCTTCTGGCCTTGTCCGGTACGTGCAAAGAGAGCACGGAAAGATAACCGATGGGCAGGCTTATGCGAAGGGTGGTCAAGGCATTGGAGACGGTGTAGAGCGATTACTTCTGTTAAGGAGCGTCCATCCACACCCAACACACGATAACGAACCTCGGCATTGCTCATTCGAGGCTCCACTCAGACATGATGAATGCTTCGGAGACTCCGGTGGTCTA